CACCATGTTGGCCAGACTGGTTTTGAATTCGTGGCCTCATGTGATTGGCCTGTGTCAGCCTCCCAAAACGTTGGGATTACAGGCATAAGTCACTGCACCTGGACCGCTTTTCTTTCATTTATTTATTTATTTTTTTTTTTGAGACGGAGTTTCGCTCTTGTTACCCAGGCTGGAGGGCAATGGCGCGACCTCGGCTCCTGGGTTCAGGCAATTCTCCTGCCTCAGCCTCCTGAGTAGCTGGGATTACAGGCACGCGCCACCATGCCCAGCTAATTTTTTGTATTTTTAGTAGAGACGGGGTTTCACCATGTTGACCAGGATGGTCTCGATCTCTTGACCTTGTGATCCACCCACCTTGGCCTCCCAAAGTGCTGGGATTACAGGCGTGAGCCATTGTGCCCGGCCTGCCTTTTTTTCTTTTAAAGAGATGGATCAGTCTCACTATGTTGCACAGGCTGGACTCCTGGGCTCAAGCGATCCTCCAGCCTCAACCTCCCGAATAGACTCACAGGAATTTGGAGGAGACAGAGACTTCCAGAATCACTCTGGCAAAGGTGGGGCTGCACAGCTGGGCTTGGAGGGCCTCTGGAGCACAGCAGCTCTGTGGTCCTTACCTGTGCTCTCTAGATGTTTAAGACCAGCCTGGGCATTATAGGGAGAACCTCATCTCTACAAAAAGTAAAAAAATTAGCTGGTTGTGGTGGTGGGCACCTGTAGTTCCAGCTACTCATCAGGAGGTTGAGGCAGGAGGATTGCTCAGTCCTGGGAGGTAAAGGCTGCAGGGAGTCGTGATCACACCACTGTACTGCAGCCCAGGTGACAGAGTGAAACCCTGTCTCAAAAAACAAAAACAAAAACCGAAACCAAGCTGGGGCCTTGGAGCCTGGGGTGAATGTCCAGCTCTGTCCCTTGCCACCAGCGGCACGATCTCAGGCAGGCCTATTCTCTTGTTTATTAAGAACCTATTTGCCCCAGTGCACCACCAGCCTGAGTGGGGCATGCCCCATTTGTTTCCCCCCTGGCTGTTTCTCTGTCTGGCTGCCTACCTGGGGTGTAGCAACCACCAGGGGTGTGTTGCTTTGTTCCTGGGGCTCTGGGCCCCAGAGCCCTGCACTCACTGGACGTGTCCTGGAGGCCCACCGTCAGGGTTATCTGCCATCATCTTGGGTGACCAATGCCGTGATTTCTCAGAACTGTGACCACTCCACTGCCAGGTCCCGTGGAGGACCTTGTCCTCACAGGAAAGTGTGGCCCCTCGCCTTTTCTGTGAGCACCTACCCTCCGCCTGCCCCCCACACTTGCTTACTGCTCCAGCGCTTGCAGTCCCCCGCCAGCAGGGAGCCTGCAGGGCTTGCACACCTCCACCTTTACCTGTCTAGTGGCCCACTCAGCGCACAGACTTGCCTTCTCCCCCTAACCTGCAGGCAGGCACGGCTTCTCATCTAACCCCTTCTCCTGCCAACCTGAATCCCATGGCCCCCAGCCCTGCTGTCTTCTGTGGTCCCCACCTGGGTAGAGGCCCACATGTGCCTGGGAGGCTCACACCTGTGCAGAGAAGTGCTGGCCACCAGCCTGGGCTCAGGACACCAACTAGTACCTTGAAAGTGATGGGTAGATTTTTTTTTTTTTTTTTTTTTTTTTTGAGAAAGAGTCTCCCTCTGTCACCCAGGCTAGAGTGCATGGTGCAATCTTGGCTCACTGCAACCTCTGCCTTTGGGTTCAAGCGACTCTCTTGCCTCAGCCTCCCAAGTAGCTAGGATTATAGGCGCCCACCACCACGCCTGGGTAATTTTTGTATTTTTAGTAGAGACGGGGTTTTACCATGTTGGCCAGGCTGGCCTTGAACTCCTGACCTCAGGTGATCTGCCCGTCTTGGCCTCCCAAAGTGCTGGGATTACAGGCGTGAGCCACCACCGTGCCTGGCCAGATACTTCTTTCGTGAATGGTATCTGCTTGCTTTCCCAGTCTCAATTTCAAACCTCTCTCTTACTCCTCAAACCTCTGGGCCCTCCTGTCTTCACTCTCAGACAACCTCTAGGCCCTCCTGTCTTCACTTCACTTCCTACTTTCCAGACCAGAGAGAAAGCCTCATGCTGGAGGGGCTCCCTCACCACATCCAAAACCTTTTCCTCCTGGAAGGAAGACAGATCTGCTCCTGAAGATCCCCGATGCGACCCACTCTGAGTAACTCCTTCACTTTCTCAGAACACTGGTTCCTCTGTGCGAGCTCCCTGCCTCCAGCATTAAACATCTCATATTAACGAAATGAACCTCCTCCCCTCCTAGCAGTCATCCTCACTGGTTCCTCCTTCACAGAAAAACTTCGCCTCCACCCTCTCAACCCATCTGGCTCTTCCTTGAAGTGCTGCCCTAACTAAGCTCAGCAGTCTGAGGTCAAGGACCAATGGCTGGGGAGCAGCCTTTCTTGCAGCCCCCACGCCTCTGTGACGGCGGTTCAGGGGCAGTCCTGGGCCAGCTCCCTAGGCTGTCTCACTGCTGTGGTCTGTGTGTGGCCCCAAGTTCATGCTGGAAACTCAGTCCCCAGTGCCACAGTGTGTTGAGAAGTGGGGTCTTTAAGAGGCAATTAGGTCGTGAGGGTCCTGACTCATGAATGAATGGATTAATGCCATTATCGAGGGAGTGGGCCCCCAATAAAGCAGTTGAAGCCCCTTCCTCTCTCTACCACGGGCTGGTGCACTGCAGAGGCCTTCCTCGCCAGAATCAGCCTCTCCATCTTGAACTTCCCAGCCTCCAGAAGCATGAGTCAAATAAAAGTCCATTGTCTCTAACTTGCCCAGTCCCAGTCTGTGATACTGTGATAGCAGCACAAAGCAGACCAAGACACCCTCTCCCATGGCTTTGATTTTACCCCACATTGAAGACTCAAATCTTGTTTCCTGCCCCAAACCTCAAGTACATGCTAGGTGCTCAAAAAATACTGAAGTGGGGTGGGTGTGGTGGCTCATGCCTGTAATCCCAGCACTTTGGGAGGCCGAGGCGGGCAGATCACAAAGTCAAGAGATCAAGACCATCCTGACCAACATGGTGAAATCCCATCTCTACTAAAAAATACAAATAGCCAGGTGTGGTGGCAGGCACCTGTAGTCCCAGCTACCCCTGGCTGAGGCGGGAGAATTGCTTGAACCTGGGAGGCAGAGGTTGCAGTGAGCCAGGATGGTACCACTGCACTCCAGCCTGGTGACAGAGCGAGACCTTGTCTCAAAAACAAAAACAAGACAAAAAACAGCGAAAAAAAGACCGAAGTGCACCTTCAACACTGGGCCCCAGCCGCTCAGGGGCTCACTGCTTCCAGCCCTCTGGTGTGCCAGAGCAGGCCCAGCCGCGCTCTGCTTCCCTTCAGCCAGAGCACTCAATAGGTGGGCTGCCCCCAAAAGTCCTAAGTCACTGTTTACTGCAAGTCAGCTGAAAACCCTACAAATCTGGCAAGGGGGACACGGGATCTGGCAACAGATTTTTTTTTCAGAACACTACCAAAGCAATCTCCAAGGGCCTGCAGTCTGTCTGCTGTCCTCCAGATTAGCAGCCTTATGACAGTTCCTATGAATATTTATTAAGCTTAAGGGCCTGGGAGAAAATGAGTAGCAGATGGTGGAGGCAGTGGTAGTGACGTCCCTTTCCCAGTCTTGGCCATTCACATACCCTGTCCCTACCAATCCTGGCACCCTTTCTGAAGAATCAAAATGCACTTTTTGGCCAAGCATGGTGGCTCACAACTGTAATCTCAGCACTTTGAGAAGCTGAGACGGGCGGGTCACTTGAGGTCAGGAGTTTGAGACCAGCCTGGTCAACATGGTGAAACCCCATCTCTACCAAAAATACAAAAATTAACCAGGTGTGGTGGCAGGTGCCTGTAGTCCCGGCTACTTGGAAGGCTGAGGCAGGAGAACCGCTTGAATCTGGGAGATGGAGGTATTGTGAGCCAAGTTCATGCCACTGCACTCCAGCCTGGGCAACAGAGTAAGTCTCCGTCCATAAATAAATACACTTTTCCTCTGGGCTCTATCATTAGCAAACACAAGTAATGCTCATGTGCTCTAGGAGGGAGTAGAAGTCTCTCAGGCCTCACATTCCCTGGCCTTCAAGGGTCACACGTGCCAGTCATGGGGGATGCCCTGGAACTGGCAACTTGCTTTGTCTGCTCTGGGTGCAACTGGGTCCTGCAGCAGAGCAGTGATGGAAAGCTGTCATTTGAGAAATGAGTCACACAGGGGCTCCACTGGCTACTGGAAGAGCAGAGAGTGACATTGAGATGCTGAAGACGCATCTCAATGTACTTAACAGGCATGCCACATTTCACCTTTTTCCACACTGGGAACCCAAGTTTGGGTGGATACTTCAATCACTTAGGAAAAATTAATAATCAATACTTGACTAGCCCAGTGTGTGCACTGCTCTCACAGATTATCCTCAAGAGCGAATCCAGAAACTAAACTGATGACGGGACCAGGCGTCCACACTGACGTCTGACCCAGAATGGTGCTAGGTGCTGGGAAAGAGATGTGGAGATGAAGCAGCTTGCTCAGCTGTCGCCGAGCTGGGCAAATGCGGGTTTCCTCCCTCCTGTATGGTCATATTTCCTTTCAGCAGCAAATAGGAGAAAAAAGGACCTATGCCAATTCAGGGTATGCTTTGTCCAATAGGTAAGGGGGAAAATCCAAGTAATCAGGAACTATTAACGCATTTGAGTTGCAAAAGCCTTCAATGTTACCTTGCTCCATATTGAAGGCACACATTTTTTGAGTTCAGGGACTAGGAGGGTATGTAGTATAGTCTCCCTGAGAGAAGAATCAATGTTTACTCTCTCTTCCCTCAAAAATGAGTGGCACCAGACACAAGAGGAGACCAGGGCCTAGAGAACTCAACATTCACAGGTATTGAAAGCTTTCGAAACTGTGATTTTACAAATTGTTTCACACACAAATTTTGTGGAGAAAGTCACCGCTTGGATCTGTTTTCAGATACAGTGAACACTGGCCAAATTGTTTTAATTTCCGAATTTATTAAAATGATTAACCTCAATACTGCAAGTGCATGTACAAAATATTTGTAAAAAATGTTTTTAATGAAACGTTAAAGAACTTACCTCAAATGCTGAAAAAGTCCTTTTTCATTCTTTCAGTACAAGGAATACATTGTATCTCAAAAGTATTACAACTCAGCAAAAACAATTCGTAACAGTAATTTGAAAATGATTGAAAATTGAATACTTTACATATATTTCTATGATCATCTCCTAATTCTTACAATGCCAAAATCTCAAACCAATCATTGCATAAGCTCAAGCTAAAAGTTTTATAGAATGCAACCTCTTCCAAACTGGTCCACGGTGTGTGGATGTCACCGTTCCACACAGTGACGTTCGACAGCAGATCCAGAACAGTTCCGAGGCCCCTACCTTTACAAACGGAAACTAGGTTTCCCTAGAAGGCATCAACAGTGGCTGCTGAGTGCTTGTGCATACCGACTCCTGAGAGGCAGTGATTCGCTACCAAATGTCACTGCTCTGAGACCCATGGGAAGGTCAACCTCTAAAGATGAGGCCATGATAAAACAAACATCATAAATAAGTTACTAAAATTAGCTTAAAAATGAAGAAAAATGGGAAATGTGTTACTTTTTAGGATTGAAATTCCCAAACTAGCTGTTGTTGGTATTGAAACAAGGTTTCAGATTTAGTCTCTGAACCTCTTCCCAACACCTCAAACTACAGTGGGAACAGCACCTCCAGACGCAAGGTCCACCTTCATCTTCCTCAGTGGCATGGGGTTCATATTTTTATGTGGGGACGACATGAGGGCTGGATGTGCTGAGTGCTCAGGGTGCCTCGGATGGGTGCTCCTGAGAGGCTGTGTGTCTGCCCCACAACGTGGGTGTGAGTGAGTGTGGAAGGAAGTCTGCCACACGCTTTCCAGATGCCTGAGAAGTTCGCCTGCACCGTAATGAACAAGGATGAGACTATGTAAGACTACAGACGTAGCTCCTTAGAGAACCAGGAGGAAAAAATCTACTTTTTAAAGATGGTCATGAATCTTATTAATTTCTATTTGGAACCTATGGGCAATCAATAGTTTTAAGGAGCTTAATTTCAATAATATCCCCTCAACCTGGAAATCAGTAGGAATCAGTAAAAACAGTCAGCATTGAGGTTTTCTCCATTGGACTTTGCATTACCTGCAGATTCCTTTTAATATTTTAAGACATGGGCCACTTTCCTATAGACACTATACAAATCCCCTAAATTGATCTTTACTTAGGAACAGTGTGTATCAGAGAGGACATGTACACATTTCCCAGAAATAAAGAGACCTACTGGTGTCAAACACCTGTTACAGATTTATATTCCCAAACTCTCTGTCCAATGATTTGCAAAATAATCCAGAGAAATGAAAAGAACCTGGTACTGAACATAAAGTAGTAATAAAAAATTTGCTCATTAAGTTAATTAAAATTAATTTCTCAAAGTGCTTCAAAAAACAAATTAAATCTGACTCCTTTTTGTTTAACTGATAATATAGTCAAAAAAATCTTTGATATTTTCATAATAAACTAACATAAGCCAAGAACTTCCACTGATGCAGTGCTTAAAACTATATATTTATAATTTCCTATTTTATTGGCATGAATATTTCTAAACTTAAAAACCTTCCTGGTAAGTTCTTTTAATTTCTTATGACAAAATTTCTCACAACACACAAATATTTACAACATATACATCGTTTTCAGTTCTTTACACTGAACCTCAAAGACAAACTTTCTTACAGGTTACCACAGAACAAAAGCTGTGACTCATGTTTTTATTTCATAAACTAGTATAAGTTAAAGTGAATAGATTTTTAATATTCCTTGTAGCATTTTACAAGTGCAACAGAAAACCTGAAGAACCAAATGAAGATAGCTGTAGTTCATTAAATGTTGCTTGTTGTCATCACGTTGTTCACAGCAAATTTTTGAAAAAATAAGCACCAATCATTCTTGCAAAGAACAATTTTATCTAAAAGGATTGAAAAGAGTTAAATACAAGGTTTTTAATTTACACGACAAGCAATAAATACACTGTGTCGAAACTCATCCCGCACACTGCTACCCTCGTACATATAATGTACTGGGAAGTGAGCTGTTGCGTATGTCATTGCATTTTTTTTTTTTTTTTTTTTTAAGAAACCAATCTGACTCCCAACCAATGGTTTGCGGAATTAACAAAGGCCACAAACAGTACACCTGGGCCAGCAAACAGTGTGAAACTGACAAAACTCCAAGGGGGAAACATCTAGCAAATAAATCGAAAAGCCAAAGATCATTGCTGGTGATATTAGCATACTAGAAACCCTTAATCTGCTGCTACTATGATTTAAGTTATTGTTTAGTCATATATTAAGGAGCCAGCTGATGCTCTTAGTTACAATTGTTGTAGCCACATCATTCTCAACGTCCTCTGTGGAAAGTTGCTATCACTGTCCAGTTTTGCCTGAGCCTTTATTTTACAACAGGGCTTCACCTCTAACTCAGAATTGCACGTAAGAAGGCTATTTAAAAAGTACGATAAAAATTTGCACAAATCAGACTTAAGAATTGAGTCAGTACGCTGTACACTTTCTACAATAGTATGCTGATAAGTGAAGAGACAATAGAAGTGCTGCCACTAAACTTTCAGTTGAGGAATAATTGACTGGAATTTTTTATTTCTTTAAAGTAGTTATACCAGGTCAAATTAAGACCAAGAGCTTATGCATTAAGCCTTAAAGACTGATCTTCTCTTCTCCTTGAAGAAATGTCAATATCTATAGAGTCTTTTCCAACTATTAGCCTCAATCGCTTGGCTGGAGGAAGAGGAATAAAATCGTCTTCAAAGTCATCGTCATAGTCATCGTCCTCGTCGTCGCCCTCCGAAGAGGAGGAATCATCTGTACTTTCTTCCTCATACTGACTGTAGTCATCCACCTCCATTCGAGACTCCAAGAGGGAAAGAGGATCGCTGCAACACACCCCATTTTCATGAAGCCCCTCTGTGTAAGATCCCCTACTTTCCTCATCTCGTTTCAGCTGGATTTTTAGTTTTGTAGAACTACTGCCTGATCCTGAGTTAAATCCATTATTCAGCTTTGCCACATAGAGATTGCTATCGTTGTCGTGGTCTTTACTTAACTTGATGCTTATTTTTGAAGAATTCATCCCATCATTCTCTTGGTCATTTGTCTTGCTGCTGCTATCATGACGCCTACGAAGAGTCAATTTGGGAATCCCCGAGTTATTTTCCAGGATTAACTGTGCGTCATACCTTGTGATTCGCCTCTTCTTTTTACTTTTTGCAGTTCTAAAGCTGTCTTTTGTTTTGAAGCTATCGGATGTCACAACTGAACAACCGACGGGTGAAGGAGCACAGTCTGTGTAGCTCACAGGCACACCCACAGTGCCACTGTGCTCGCCCTGGTCAGAATGGGGCCCCATCAAATCTGGCACCGTGTCGTCTTTTCCAGGAGAATCATGCTCCGGAGTAGACTCCTCTATTTTTGCAAACTGTTTCACAAGTTTTCCTTGTCGTGACTTCTTTTTGGACATGCCTGTGTCACTTTTATGACACTTTGCCTCCCCGTTTTGTGCAGTCTCGTGAGCCAGTTCTTCCTCCTGCACCACGGGAGCTGGCTGCTCATCACTGTCAGGGCAAGGTTCCGTCACGCTGCCTTTATAGCCATCCAGCGTATTTGGTTCGAGCTTGATGTCAGAGGCCTCCTTCAGAGTTGTTCTTGTCCTCACTGACCGCCGGGTTATGTAGGTGCAGGGTGAGCCCTCCCCCTGCAAATGAGCACCTCTCACAGGATTCTGTCTGTGTTCTCTCGCCGCGTGTCTAGTCAAGCACCCACTGGCGACTGCAGCTTGGGCTGGTCCCTCTGGCTCCTTATCTTTTTTAATGGGCAAATTTTTATATAGAACTACTTTAGGTTCTTTCAGTACTAAGTTTCCCATTTCGAGTTTTCTTGAAGCATTCTTTTGCTCCAGCCGCTTGCAATGATTTCTCAATTTTATCTTTGAAAGTAAAGGCTTTGCAGGCTTTTTCAGTTTCTTTGGTACCCTGGAATTATTTATATGAGTTAGCTTAGATGAGGTAGAGTTGGAAGAAGCTGGAATTCTTGACATAGATTGCCTCGTTAACGTTCTGCTCTTGCTATTCTTTTTTACACCAACTGAAGATTTTCGGTTAGAAGCTGTAAGGTTAAAAAGAAAAAGGTGAAAAACAGCCTTGGTAACAGCAGAGTTCAAGAAAAGAATGCCCAAAACCAGGCTATTAGATACAGCATGTTTAGACTGCACGAACGCCGACACCACGGCTCCTGCTGCAGATTCTGCCAGCACACCTGCATTCCCTGCACTGCTTTTCTTTGAAGCTCTTTTCTAAGTTACGGGGCATCTATCTGTTTTCGAGGTAAGCAGCTGGATGGTTAAAAAGCTTTCAGCACAGCAGGGACCTAGACTACTCTGTAAGTTTCTCCTTAATCTGTCATCACACTGGCCCAAACAAAGACGTTCTCCTGATTTAGCAGTTCCCCACATAAAAGATTTGAAGGAAAGTTAAGTAAACATAGCTTTTTTCCTTTCACAGATTCTCCATAAAATAGTCATTTTAAATGTTTCTAAAATCCATTACTCATTAACCCAAAGGAAGTACACCACTTGGCCAGTAATACAGAATAGAAATAGAATACTAATGAGCTCTAAGGAACACATTCTATTGCAATGGTTTCAAAGAAGAGAAACAGATTCTAAGACCCATATATTATCACTCTGAAAAGTCACTGTCACTATCAAAACAGCAATGCACTATTCTAAATTGTCCCCTTCAACTCTGTGAAGGACAGAAGCAGCAACAGGGGGGCTGCCAAATAAGAGCTGCAAAGCTTCCTTGGCTCCGTCCCTTCAGTGGCTGCCCAATGGCTACAATCACGGTGAAGGAAGAGGCACATTGCTAGAATTGTGCACTCTCACGACAGAGTGAGACCCAGCTTCTTTCCAAGGCAAGGACAGAAAGGGTTGCACTGACCTTAATGGTAATGACCTGAGAAGTGATGAATATGGTTCAATTGTGTAGTCTCATCCACTAGAATTACAAAGAACTACTAGGTAGAAAATATTTCTACCTAATTTATTTTATTTTTTATTTTTTGAGATGGAGTTTCACTGTTGTTACCCAGACTGGAGTGCAATGGCACGATCTCGGCTCACCGCAACCTCCGCCTCCTGGGTTCAAGCAATTCTCCTGCCTCAGCCTCCTGAGTAGCTGGGACTACAGGCGCACACCACCATGCCCAGCTAATTTTTGTATTTTTAGTAGAGACGGGGTTTCACCTTGTTGACCAGGATGGTCTCGATCTCTTGACCTCGTGATCCACCTGCCTCGGCCTCCCAAAGTGCTGGGATTATAGGCGTGAGCCACCGCGCCCGGCCGACAATATATATTTTTAAATACAAGGATATTTAGATAATTCTTTTGCTACAGAATTTCCTTACACTTACGAAGCTTGCCTACAAGGTGGATTGAGTAGATGTGCTGTCAATATAGAGAATGAAGGTGAATGGCTTCTCAAAAGGCTTCACCTGTGACTCACGCGTTAGCTGCTCCCAGTGTCTCTGACCTTGCCACTGACTGTTAATTTTTCCTCTGTGTTGACATTCTGGACTATTATTTATAGAAGTTTACATGAATCAATTTCTGTTACCTAGTTCTCATGTGTCCAGTTGAAAACTTCTTCCTAATCAAAACACTCCATTTACAGATTATTCACTAGAGAAGCTAAGATAACCAAATGAATGATCACCACCTCTCACCAACAGGGAGAATAAAAACAATAAAATACGGGTAAGCTCAGCACACTGCCCACCCAAGTGCGGTCCAGGATCCCGAAGTCTCCATCGCTTTCAACATGCCTGAGGGTTGCCGGGGCCACTGGTTAGTTACCATTAGTTCAGTTTCTATTGAGAGGTTCAACAATGCATCACAGGCACTCCGACAATATCAAACCAACAAGAACAGAAGTCTCTGCACCTGAGGTGAGGAGTTCAAAACCACCTGGCCAATACAGTGAAACCCTTTCTCTACTAAAAATACAAAAACTAGCCAGGCATGTGGTGCGTGCCTGTAGTCCCAGCTAATCGGGAGGCCGAGGCAAGAGAATCACTTGAACCTGGGAGATGGAGGTTGCAGTGAGCCAAAATGGCACCACTGCACTCTAGCCTGGGTGACAAGAGTAAATGCTCATCTCAAATAAAAAGAAGGCAGCCCTGCACGCAGAGACTGGTTCATAAATGGCTTCAGTGTAATAAACCAGCAGAATTTACAGCAAGGAGAGATTCATGGTTTGAGCCAAGAACAAACTTACACATGTGGGCTGCTACCACGGTGGCAGCCTATTTTTACAACAGTAGGAGGGTGAAGTTGGAATACGAGTCAATTTGAGAACGAGTGATATATTATCCACTGGAATTACACAGAACTACTTCACAGCAAATATATTTTTTAAAAATAAGAAATTTAGAAAATAAGAACAAAATAGGGAACCCTTTGGCTAAAGGATTTCTTTATGCTTATGACGCTCTCCTACAAGGTGGACTGAGTGACGTGCTGCCAGTGTGAAGAAGGGCACCAGTGGAGACAGAGCTGCACTGCTCGGCTGCCTTTTGCCTGGCTTTCTCAGAGGTGGCTATGATGATCCTTTGCTCATTCTATGCCTCCTCAAGGACCAACTTATGACTAAGCTCAGCGGTTTTCAACCTTTTATTTCTCCTCTTTCCATTCCATTCTTTTTCCTGTTTCCCCAACAATCTGTTTACCACCACGTACCTGCAAGCACCCTTACACAACAATCACATCGACACCATGTTCTCACCAGCCTGCTCCTCCAGTGAGACAGCCTTTGGTGCGCTGACAACTCTGTCATTAAATCCAGCACATACTCTTCAGCCCTCCCCTTTCTTCATTTCTCTAAATGTGACACTGATAACCATTTTTTCTTGAGAAAACCTTTCTTCTCTTGGTTGTCAGAGAGCGCGTCCTCCCGGTTTTCCTTCTCCATCCCTGGCACACCTCTTTCATCTGCCCCTAGACTGTTACTCTTCAGGCCTTTGCAGTCCCAGGCCCCAGGTGATAAGCACCCATTCTCCCATGGTTATTAGCACTTACAGGCTGATAGTTCCCCAACTCTAGTCAGACTTTCTCAATGAGATCCAGATCACCAAATACAGACTGTCTCTCAGTCCCTAAATAGAACTCACCAAGTCTCCTGACGACTTCCCCTTTCGAGGTCTCTATCTTGGTCAGTGTCACCACCACTGCCCAGCTGCCTAAGCAGAAAGCTGGAGGTCCTCCTTGACTCCCGCTCACCTCAACCGCCTTACCAAGCCAATCACCAGATGCCGTGGAGTCCACCCCTGCAATGTCACTGCAACCTGTTTACTCTTCCCTGTCTCGAATGCCACAATCTCCTGCCTGAACTATGGCAATTTTGTTTTTCCTGTTTTTCCAAAAATCCATTTACCACCACATGGCCAGGATGATTTTCTTAGTACATATGCACCTTCTGGCTGTTAAACCTTTCAGCAACCTAATGCCCTAAGTAAGAATCAGGTCTAAAATGTTAGCCTGTGGTCACATCTCTTTTTCTTACCCTGTACTTGTCATGAAGCAGAGCTTTGACTCAAGCCTCACTCTATCTACACAGCTGTCTAGAAGGCCCTCTGCTTTGAATATACTTCCCTTGGCCAACTTCTCATCCCCTCTAAGACTCGGCTTAGGCAACACCTCTCAGGGAGCCTCTTGGGCCCTTCTCGGCAACGCCCTTCCTATGTCTTCTCACAGCACCCAAGAAGCTCATTACTTGGTACTTATTTTCACCCATTAGATGAATCCAATTTTATGGTGATTCTGAATTCAGCTCTCCCCATCCCATCCCTCTTTCCAAAACATTCACTGTTGGCAACAGAAAACCAAAGCATTTTCATGTTCTTGTGTCTAAATTAACATAAACAGTCCATTTTTTTAGCATAAAATGGGTATATATTTGATACTATGTATTATGTCAATACAGAGATTTCAATACATATTAGCAATGTATTTTAATTTTGTTTGAAAAGCATCATCTCGTCAAAAGCCCTGTCAAAAGGTATGCACATCAAATCAAAGGAAAAAAAAGACAGGCAAAGAATGGGAGAAAGGTGATGAAGATGAGAGTCCAGTAGAGTGACAAGAGCCCTTTCACTGTCCAAAGAAGCTACCCTGTCCTCACAGGGGTTGAGAATTTCCGTGAAGGCTAAAGCAGGAAGACAGCAGCCACAATGGCAAACGAAAAGTCAATGATTTTTAAAAGTCTACCAGGAAACCAAGGACTGTGACCTCAGTGGGGTCAGATGTGCCTGTGTTTGAATTTGCTTCAGCACCTTATACGCCTCGTATGACTCTTCCCCTGGGAGAAATCTCAAATGCATGGACCTGGACAGTAATTTTAGGTGGGGGTAACAGATTCTTCTCGGTAACTACTACATGCTACGTGCTGGGCAAAATGGTCACATCCATCCTAATAAATGCTTTGGAAGGAAATGAGATTAAACCTATGTGAAAACCAAGCTCACATAGACTAGCGTGCGTCATCCATCTGGTGAATGGCAGAGAGGGGACTTCAGCTTAGGCCTTCCTGAGCATTAAAGTCATTCTTATGCTGCCTCTAAGGCATACCACAGAATTACAGTGTCAGTCTCAACTCACGGGTAAAGGTCCCACTGCATGGCTATTGCAGTCATTTCAGGGTGTCCTCAAATTCCTATGGCAGAGTGGCACCAAGACTTATAGCCAGACAAAAGAGCTATGAAGGACTCCAAGGCCTTCCTGGGCACTCAGGCTTCACTGGAGATGCACACGATTAGCTGGAACTAAGATGACACAAGGGCCACAACTCAGCATTTCCAGAACTTGAGGATCCAGAAGGCCCCTACAGGACTTTAAAGATCTTGGGCTCAAGGAGTTTACTAGGCACAAGCACTTTTCATCTGATGTGACCAGCACCGACTGGCAATGGTTGCCTGGAACAGGGTGTTAGAAAGAACTCTGAAGCAGCCTTGGCTCAGCAGAAAAGAGTGTTCAGAACAACTGATGACATCAGTGACAGGGCCAGAGTGAGAAGCAGTGCCTCAGCCTCTGCATCTAGGACAGGTGCTCCACAGTTAAGATCAACCTCTCCCTTTGGCCGAGTCTTCTGGGGTTTGTCTTGACTTGCGGCACCTGCAGAGACCTGTGTCCACATCTTCGCAGACGGCTCAGAGCCTCTGGTCTCACACTCCCTATCACAGCACTAACTTCAGAGGGGGTATCCCAGTCAGCAAGGTGTTAAGAGGCCTGAAAAACTGGAATCCTCTAGTCCTGGCATTCCTGTGGACTGGATTTGTGAAAATGGATTCCTTGTTGTCTCTATTTCTGGATGCTAAAGCAGAGTCACACTGTAGCTCTCAAGATAATTGCCAAAAAAGCACCTGTATGGAATATTTTCTTTCAACTACACAGAACATTTCTTTATACATTTGTTCAAAGAAAGCAGTTCCTCTATGAGCTGCTAAATTCTAAATGAACCACAGGATAAAGACGAGCAGCCACACAGAAAAAACACTCCACACCCATACACACTATGTGCACCTACCACCCTGGGAGGAGGGGCCTGGCAGCTCTGGCTTTCCTGCCAGCCGCTTCCAGAGCCTTTCTTTCAGACAGGTGGAGGGGATGGCTGAGACGAACACCAAAAGAAATACAGCCTAAGAGAATGCATGTAAGAACTCGGGAAATCCTTACGTGAACATGACAACATACAATGGTCTCGGAGACAACTAAAGCCCCAAGCTCCTTCAGAGAGAACACTGAGCCACATCTATCCGCTCTGTCCATGACCTCAGTTAGTCACACTGACCCCTGGATTGCTCCAATCATGCTGCGGAAAGGGAATTTGAAAAAAAGCAAGCGACCCACTATCAGCAGTCACTGCAAAATGTGCACCTGTCTTCTGTAATGCTGACAGCGATTATTCGGTCCCTTGGAACTGGAAAACCTGTGCTTCCAGTCTGCTCTGCTTACTTGTGCACCTGTCCTATCCTGGAGCTAAGGTATAAGCTCCCTGAGGAAAGAACCCAAGTCTCAAACATCTTCGTATGTCTTCAAGAACTAGCAGGATTTCAGTAAGTATCTAGTTTATTAATATATATTCCCAAATAGTATTTGGTTTAATAAATATTAATTAATGGTTAAACATCAGTACACCCAACATCTTCCAAAAATTATTTGTATTCTCACCTTTTAAACTAAGTAGTATACTGAGTTCAGTAGCTATACACTAGTCATAAAGTTACTACTTAAAAGCATAAAACATCTGCGTGACAGAGCCATTCAACATGGGCAACTCTGTGGCTGTCTCCACATACAGATGGCAGCACGCACCTGTTTCTGTTCTTATTTTAAAATACACAGGTCTCGGCTGGGCGTGGTGGCTCATGCCTGTAATCCCAGGACTTTGGGAGGCTGAGATGGGCAGATCACAAGGTCAGGGGTTTGAAACCAGCCTGGCCAATTTGGGGAAACCCTGTCTCTACTAAAAAAAATAAATAAATAAAAATACCCAGGCATGGTGGCGAGCACCTGTGGTCCCAGCTACTCGGGAAGCTGAGGCAGGAGAACTGCTTGAACCAGCGGGCAGAGGTTGCAGTGAACTAAGATTGCGCCACTGCAGTCCAGTCTGGGCGACAGAGCAAGACTCTGTCTCAAGAAGAAAAAAAAAAGGACACAGGTCTCACTATGTTGCCCAGGCTGGTCTCAAATTCCTGAGCTCAAATGATCCTCCCACCTCAGCCTCCCACATAGCTGGGACTACAGGCTTGCGCCACCATGCCTGGCTTTTAAGTGTTTTTATGTCTGCATTTATAAAATGGGCTTCACAAGATTCCAGTTTCACCAAGGAACCAGACTCAGAAAACAAATGTTCGTTATGCTGCATTTATTATGAGAATCCACAGTCAACAGTGAATGATTGACTAACTCTTGCTGATCACTCTGGACATTAACAAGAAAGACTACAGCACTGTGTTTACGCTACACGGGTTATGCTTTGACTCTGACTCCCAGCAGCAGGTAGATTCAGGAATTCATGGCACTGACATTCACCATCGTGGGAAACACCTTCCCTTTTCTTCAGGACTCTCTGTAGGGGAAGAGAGCACCCAGTGTTGGGCTGAGAACATCTGAAAGTGGGGAGAAGAATCTAAAATAATCAGTATCTCAGAGGGCTCTAAGGTACCAAAAAGTCTCACTGGACATTTAAGTGCCAACAAAGACATACTTTCGGAATCACCAGTCAAAACTTTCTAACTTCTGTCTCTCTCTGGGAGACAAGCCAGACTCAAGAGTCTATTGCTTTAGTGGCAACTACAGAAAACTGGTGTTACCCAGAAAAGCAGAAGCAATTAGTATGGTTCCAATACTTCAAAACTCCACAAAGAGGATGTGCTTTCCTTTGCCCGTTCAGGGTTTCTTCTTTCCTTTCTCTTTGTTTAGTCGTTCTCTTTTTCAGTTTCCATCAGATCTTGCCCCACACACCACTGGAATCTCAGAGGTTGCTTCTTTCTCCTTTCCATGTTTATTCCTACTTTCTGGGGTAGCCAATACAGCATGTCACCATACAGCACTGTACAAAATGCTCCTCTATCACAATTCTGAGTCTGGTACTGGTGGGTCTGCCAAACTGGGTCAGTTCATTTTGAAAAAGGTCAGCAAGCAATGAAAAGGTGGAGGCCTTGAGGCCAGAAGCTACGAATTCCTCAAGTCCATCATCTTTTCCTAACAAACTGGCTAGGCACTGGAACGTACAAGGGCCTAATAATTCTACTCAGTCCTTTCGTCTTCTTGCAGGACCTAATGACATCATCACGGTCTCTAACACCTTGAAAAGGTTTTATTTAAAACATGTGACAACCTTGGAACATATGATGAAGAACTCACATCCAGTTACCAAGGTATTCAAGAAAAATAGTCTAGAGAACGGTACTGAAGTTGGAGGTGGGATACAGACTGTGCCTCTGTACTCAAATCATGTCTTGAAATGCTGTCAAAGCTCTCACGTCCCAGTTCCTCTCGCATTTGAAAGCGTCAGACTACTGGAGCGCGCCTTAGAAAGCAAACTGTGTGAAAGTACTTTTACAGACATGCTTATCAAGCTTCCCTTACTTACTTGCATTGTTTTGTTCCTGAGTGGTATCTGCATCAGTGTTAGAGCTGACAGATTGACTGTCTGAATTTTTGCTGCTGTCACCTAACTTTTTAAGCCTATTTAAACGTTTATCTGTTTCTCTGAGTCCATATTTGCTATTGATAACAGGAGCAGGCGCAGGCAGTCCCACTCTGGATTTAAAAGCACCAGTTCCCCGCCTGAAAGAGAAAAATAGCACAGGTTAAACAAACAGAACACACTTTCTTATAACAAGCTTATCTGCTGAGGGTACTTGGCTGCAGGCTCACAGATGTGATGAGCTGCTGACGCCTTAACCACCACTGGAAACTCAAGACTAGAACTTACAAAGGAAATTAAGAATCTATATTACAAAATAAACGCTAAAGCTACACTTAAAATAATAAAACAACTTGTTACGACTATTATCAATTGTTAGTTGCCTGAGAAACTACTGGACCTTGTAATTTTTTTTTTTTTGAGACAAGGTCTCATTCTATCTCCCAGGCTGGAGTGCAGTGACATGAACATGACTCACTGCAGCCTCAATCTCCCAGGCTCAAGCAATCCTCCCACCTCAGCATCCTGAGTATCTGGGACCATAAGCATGTGCCACTACCATCAGTTAATTAAAAAAAAATTTTTTTTTTAGAGATGGGGTCTCACTATGTTGCCCAGACTGGTTTCCAACTCCTGGGCTCAAGCGATCTTCCCAGCTGGGTCTCCCAAAGTGTTGGGTTTACAGACGTGAGCCACCATGCCCAGCCCTTTAATAAACATTGCCAGATGACGCTGCCAAAGGAATAGAGCAAATCACGGTCCTACTGGCACGGTGAGTTCCTATTTCTCCACACCCTCACCAACGGTACACTGTATCACTTAAATTTTGCCAAAGCGATGAATGAAACTGAATACCTAATCTTGTTTTCGTCTCCCTGTTTATGGCCATTTTTTTCCTGTGAAGCATCTCTGCATCTCTTTCTCCTTTACCTTTTTTCCTATTTGACTATGTCTTTTCCTTATAAGCTTATAGGAGCTTTTTGTTACTAGTTTTATTTTTATTTTTGAGACATAGTCTCACTGTGTCACCCAGGCTGGAGTGCAGTGGTGTGATCTTGGCTCACTGCAACCTCATCTCCTGGGTTCAAGTGATTCTCCTGCCTCAGCCTCCCAAGAACCTGGAATTACAGGCGTGTGCCACCACACGTGGCTAATCTTTGTATTTTCAGTAGAGATGGGGTTTCAGCATGTTGGCCAGGCTAGTCTTGAACTCCTGACCTCAGATGATCAACCTGCCTCGGCCTCCCAAAGTGCTGGAATTACAGGCGTGGGCCACAGCTCCTGGCCTTGTTATTAGAATTTTAACTCTTTGCTATATATGTACTTTATTTTCCTTCAGAATATCATCTGTCTTTTGACTTTATTTTGGCCACTCAAAAGTTTCTGGATTCACCATTCCTTATGTCTTTCAAGATGATCTCCGTTACCCCAAAGATAAACATATATTCTCCCAAATTTGCCTAATAGTTTTATATCTTTTAAATTTAGATTTTTAATCCATCTGGATATTATTTTGTATACGATGTGATAGAGGTCTAACTTGGTTTCCTTCTAGAAGCACAATGAATTATACCAACATCATTTATTAAAGAAGTTGTGGTTTCTCAAAGTGTGTTATTCAGATCTCAGGTATACTTCTGCCTTTACTTCAGGACTCTTCATGTCCTGTTTTAACTATTTGTCAATTTCTGTGCCAATATCAAATTCTGATCGGAATTATTTCTAGTAACTTAGTATCTGTTGAAGTCTTTCTAGCTGTTCTTTCTTGGCTATCATCAGATATACTTTCACAGAAGTTTTAAAATAATTTTTATCAATTCAAAAAATAATTCCCAAACAACTCATATATTAACTGGGAAAAGAGTAATGTTTTTATGATTTCAAGTCTTTTTCTTTTTGAGACAGAGTCTCACTGTTGTTACCCAGGCTGGAGTGCAATGGCGCGATCTTGGCTCACCGCAACCTCCGCCTCCTGGGTTCAGGCAATTCTCCTGCCTCAGCCTCCTGAGTAGCTGGGATTACAGGCATGCGCCACCATGCCCAGCTCATTTTTTGTATTTTTAGTAGAGACGGGGTTTCACCATGTTGACCAGGATGGTCTTGATCTCTTGACCTCGTGATCCACCCGCCTCGACCTCCCAAAGTGCTGGGATTACAGGCTTGAGCCACTGCGCCCGGCCTGATTTTAAGTCTTTACAGGTAAGATCACAGCTCCTTTTACTTAGGTTTTATTTTTTGGTTCTTCTTTAGATTTTATGCTTTAAATTTTCTTTTCTTTTTTTTGAGATGTAGTTTCACTCTTGTTGCCCAGGCTGGAGTGCAGTGGCGCATCTCAGCTAACTGCAACCTCTGCCTCCCAAGTTCAAGCAATTCTCCTGCCTCAGCCTCCCAAGTAGTTGGGATTACAGGTGCCCATCACCACAGCTGGCTAATTTTTTTGTATTTTTAGTAGAGACAGGGTTTTACCATGTTGGCTAGGCTGGTCTTGAACTCCTGACTTCAGGTGATTTACCTGCCTAGGCCTCCCAAAGTGCTGTGATTATAGGTGTGAGCCACACCCACCCGGCCTATGCTTTAAATTTTCTAGAGTAAAATGTATAAGTACTTGTGAACATATTACAATTACTACTGTCAGTATATAGCATAGCACAGAAATATGCTTCAAATGTCTCCTGGAGAGTCTAGCATGACTCAGTCTCTCTGTACACAAGACTCCATCCACTCTGACTTCTTTATGGAGCCTCTTCCTTTTACCCCCTGCCTCTCAGCACACCATGTGTGCCCCTTTCACTGAACTGCCCTCACAGCTGGCACTATGCTGGTCTTGTTTGTCCTGCATGTCCTTGGCCTAACATTAGGTTACTGTTCAGTTAATATGTAATCAGTAACTGAATGAGCTCCTAGACTCACTTTCCCAGCTAATTTCTGGAAAGGCAGAAACAATTTGGTGTTTCCCAGATTTTTCAATACCATATGCAGCCAATCTTCAAATCAAACTGCTCAAACAGTCTGACAATAGCCATGGCCACTATGCTGTATCATGCTGTTCCATTCATTCATTCATTTATTTATTTCTGAGACGGAGTTTTGCTCTTGTTACCCAGGCTGGAGTGCAATGGCACGATCTCAGCTCACTGCAACCTCTGCCTCCTGGGTTCAGGCAATTCTCCTCCCTCAGCCTCCTGAGTAGCTGGGATTACAGGCACACACCACCATGCCCAGCTAATTTTTAGTAGAGACGGGGTTTCACCATGTTGACCAGGATGGTCTCGATCTCTTGACCTCGTGATCCACCCGCCTCGGCCTCCCAAAGTGCTGGGATTACAGGCTTGAGTCACCGCGCCCGGCCGCTGTTCCATTTAAAAAGGACTTGCACATGTTTCTGTTTCTCACACTAACCCTGTGGAGTAGGTGGGATTATCCTCATTTTCACCAGTGAGAAAACTGAGGCTCATGGAAGAGAACTAATCTGCTCAAAGAAAATGGCTCTACCTGCAGTTCTAAAACCAGAGAAAGAGCTGTTTCGGTGTTAGTTTGGAATCGAGTATGTGGTTAGGTGTTTTCAGGAAGGCCTCCAGAAGCATCATCATATTCATTTACTCCATTCATTTGTTTACCAAATATTTATCAAGGACTTACTATGTGCCAGGTACTATTATGTATTTTGGGGACATAGCAGAAAATGAAATAGATACAAGTCCCTGCCTTCATGAAGCTTGTATTATATTCTAATGGGAAAATAACCGGAAACCAGCCGGGTGGACCACCTGAGGTTGGGAGTTTGAGACCAGTCTGACCAAGATGAAGAAACTCTGTGCCTACTAAAAATACAAAAAATTGGCCAGGCATGGTGGCGCATGCCTGTAATCCCAGCTACTCAGGAGGCTGAAGCAGGGAATCACTTGAACCCGGGAGGCAGAGGTTGCAATGAGCCCAGATTGTGCCACTGTACTCCAGCTTGGGCAACAAGAGCAAAACTCCGTCTCAAAAAAAAAAAAAAAAAAAAAAAAAAAAAGCCGGGCACTGTGGCTCACACACCTGTAATCCCAGCACTTTGGGAGACTGAGGTGGGCAGATGACAAGGTCAAGAGATCAAGACCATCCTGGCCAACATGGTGAAACCCCATCTTTACTAAAAGTACAAAAATTAGCCAGGTGTGGTGGTGTGCCTGAAGTCCCAGCTACTCAAGAGGCTGAGGTAGGAGAATTGCTTGAACCTAGGAGGCGGAGGTTGCAGTGAGCCGAGATCATGCCACTACACTCTAGCCTTGCCACAGAGTGCGACTATCTCAAAAAAAAAAAAAAAAAAAAAAAGACAAACCCAGAAACCAGTAATTATGTTAACATTTGTGTATTAACTGTGTGCTATTCTACATGCTTTACAGGAAAAAACAAATTTAATCTTCACATCAATCCTACAAAATAGGCTCTGATGTTATCCCTATTTTACAGATGGGGAAATTGATAATTAAGGCACAAAGCAGCTAAGTGACTTGCTCTACCCTACATCACAAAACTAATCAAATAGTTTCAAGATTCAAACCCAGGCAGTCTGATTTCAGATGACAGGCACTTAACTATTATACTATGTTTCCTCTACAAAATGATTTTGAAGCATAACTGAACTGTAAGTTAACTGACTGCTTTATAGATTAAAGTGTATTCTGTGGACTGGTCAAAGATCTAACCAACATGTGAAACAGTTGTTTTTTTTTTTTTTTGAGATGGAGCCTCACTCTATTGCCCAGGCTGAAGTATAGTGGCATGGTCTTGGCTCACTGCAACTTCCACCTCTCTGTTTCAAGCGATTCTCTTGCCTCAGCTTCCTGAATAGCTGGGATTACAGGCATGCACCATCATGTTGGTCAAACTGGTCTTGATCTCCTGACCTCTGGATCCACCCACCTCAGCCTCCCAAAGTGCTGGGATTACAGGTGTGAGCCACTGCACCCAGCCTCATGTGAAACATTTTTATGTAGAAAAAGATAAATTTTATGTCCCTCTCCCCTGGCAAAAATTCAGCAGCACTAGGAAGTGGCTCTTCTGCCACCCCTTTCTGGGGTGAAGAAATCCCACTCAACACTGGGAGAGAGAGATGGCTACAGTAGCACTGGGACTCTATGACCCTGTCTACTCACCACACAAATGGAAATCCCTGGCTATCCAGAAAGGAGGGAAATGGTGACTGGGAAATCTGCCCATTGCAACCCCCAGGCTGACTATTTGTAGGTGTTTTAAAGTTGGAGACGTGACGCTAGTAACTCTGATTGTATCTGGAAAAGCTATATGAAGTAGAAAGAACAAGGACTCTGAAGTTAGGCTGACTGGGGTCTGATACTTATGTTCTGGTACTTGCAATGTGGGTACCTCCTAGCTCTCTCAAGAATACCTGTGAGAACTAAACAAGCTGGGGTGAGCAGTGCCTGGCACAGTGCAAGGTATGTGAAGTGGACTCCAGGTTTCCTTCTCTGTGGCCTGGTGGTCTGTACTGCCTTTGAGGGGAGTCCTCCTGCAGCCCCTGCCTGCCTAAAGCCTGTGAGGCTTCCTTCATGGTGCTCTCATAGGCAGAAGTCACTGTAATGAACAGTATAAACTGGTGGTCCTGCCAAGGCAGATTTGGGGATTTCTCTAAGGATTCCAGGACTCTTGATGAAACACAAAAAGAAGTTCCTTACTGAGTGACTAACAACAGGGAACAAACCTTTAAGAACTGTGAAACCAAAATACCAGAAGATGTAGCTTGGTAATCGCAAGATGACTATGGTGAACTCCACCTGACGTTCTGAGTAGGGGGGAACCCCAACTCTACCCCTGCGTGTGTGCATGTGTGTGAGCTACTAATCATTCTTTCCTTAAGCACATCTGTATTCTGGCCCACTCTTAGCTGGTAATATTAAGATTTTAAAGAGGAATTTAAAATGTATTTAGGACATTCTAGCGTCCCCAAATAGTTGTGCAGCATTTGACTTTGTTCATATATACTGTACCAGCTGCTATGCCGCAGAACATAAAGACTATCTCTGTATTTAAACAATGAAGAGATAATGTGAGTTCAATCCCCATAATCAGGTCAAAAAAATAGGCTGAACATTTTACTTAATACTTTACCTTTCGCAGGTGTAACACTCGCAGAACTCATTATTTTCTCCAAAGAACCCATCTCCATAATAACAAGAAATTTCTTCTCCAGGTTCAATATCTCTTAGAGCCTTCACACATGCTGTATCTCGACCAGTTGACACAAACTAAAATAAAAGTAACTCAGTAAGAAACTCACACCTGAGGCAAAAACAAAATAGTTGAAGAATTTTTGTTTAATGCTTACCTTACAATTAGGTCTGCAATCTGAAAAATGTCCAAAAGATAAAGTCAATTAACTGTTGACAAGATCTGAAACACGAACAGTTACAGAAATCTGAAATAAGCTTTCCGCATCACTTTACAACTTCTGATAGGAGTTTAGGTCTCAAGTTCAACTAAAGGAATACTTATTTATTTTAATAAGTTTGTGGGAAAATTTATATTTCAAATTCTCCTTTAAAGGAAGATAAAAGTTTAACTGAGGTCGATGAGGCCATTCTAGCAGTCAGAAGGAATGCCCAACACTAGCGCCAACACCTTGGAAATACAGCTTACCATGGTTTATAAACGCAGCAGGACCCAGCCACAGTTGAGCACAGTTTTTCCTTGTGGAATACATGACACTGAAGTCGTTTTCTCCATGTCTAAGTAGCATGTTCTCCTCAATTTCTGAAAGTTCGGCAATACAACCCACCAGTAATTCTATTTTGTCATTTCGTTTCCTATTTAAAATATGTGATGTGTTAAAATTACTAGTAATTAAAAATAGTAAGGCTTCTTTTAATAAAATAATCCTGACCAATAAGTATCAGAGAAGGAAAAGCCCTAGCTGTCTATGTTAGTTAGCTCACTTGGATCCCTACTTGGCTATCCCTCTCTTCTTCCTTGAGCCCCACAGCCTTGTGCCACAGTTACTTGTGATCCTATCTGATCCCTACAAGAGAATGAAAACTCAACCAGGACAGGGACTATGCTACCTATGTCTCTGAACCCCCTAGTGTGGTGTTTTGCAGGCAGAAAGTACTCAAAGACTTGCGGCATTGAATTAAACTTTCTGACTGCTGGATGAAGCAGGCAGGAACCAGTGGCAGTAAGGGTTATGAGGATCCAGAATTGTGGATCCTCTTAGAGCACACCATCCACTAGGAATGTAATGCAAGCCAAGTTTCCAATCTTAAATTTTCTTTTTCTTTTCTTTTCTTTCCTTTTTTTTTTTTGAGACAGAGCCTTGCTCTTGTCACTGGGCACCAGGCTGGAGTGTAGTAGTGCAATCTCGGCTTACTGCAACCTCCGCCTCCAGGGTTCAAGCAATTCTCCTGCCTCAGCCTCCAAGTAGCTGGAACGATAGGCGCACACCACCATGTCCAGTTAATTTTTGTATTTTAGTAGAAACAGGGTTTCACTATGTTGTTCAGGATGGTCTCAGTCTCTTGATCTCGTGATCCACCCACCTCGGCCTCCCAAAGTGCTGAGATTACAGGCATGAGCCACACCGTGCCCGACCCCTATCTTAAATATTCTAGCAGCCACATTGAGAAAGTAAAGTGAATACAGGTGAAATTACTTTAAAAATATATTTTAATTCAATATCCAAAATACGATTTTAGTAGGTAATAAACAAAAGAACTACTAATGGGAATAAAATTTAATATGAAATCTGATGGGCATAGCATACTTACAGTGCTTCTCAATACAGACTAGCCACATTTCAAGGACTCAAGGGATGGTGGCTACTGTACTGGACAGTACAGCTCTAGAATCCTAGCTCTCAAACCTACACACCCACCTGCAACACAGGGAGCCACATAGTCCAACTAGAAGCTCAATATAGGCTGAGGTAAACAAAGTACACTAATGCACACACATTCGCTCCAGAAGCCTGGCAATAAGCTTCTTTTACCTATTCAATTTTCAGATACCTGACCCCCAAAATTTTTGCCATAAGAAGTATAGGAGAGTGGGTACATGAGGAGCTACCTGTTTTTCCTGGAGATGACACAGGGAACAGGTATGACAGGAAAGAAGACTCAGCAGTATATTATCTTTCCTCTGTAACTATGATCCCTCTTAGCTGAGCTCAACTCTGACTTTTTTGAGACAGTCTTACTCTATTGCCCAGGCTGGAGTGCAGTAGAGTGATCTTGGTGGCAGCCTCTGTCTCCTGGGTTCAAATGATTCTCCTGCCTCAGCCACCCAAGTAGCTGGGACTATAGGTGTGCACCACCAGGCCCAACTAATTTTTGTATTCTTAGTAGAGACGGGGTTTCACCATGTTGGCCAGGCTGGTCTCGAACTCCTGACCTCAAGTGATCCGTCTGCCTTGGCCTTCCAAAGTGCTGGCATTACAGGCATGAGCCAACACCTCCTGCCAACTCTACTATTTTTACTGAAGCTAGCATATATATATATATATGTACATGTATGTATTTTTAAGCAACTAATACTTTACGGAGGTTTCCACCCATAAAACTAGTATCATTAACACTTTACCTCCAACACTTCTTCTAGGCCAGTAAAAGACTGTGGAAGCCAGGTTCTCTAATAATGGTATCCACAACCCGTCAGCAATCACATCACTGGGCAGGCATCCAGACTCAATAAAGGGAACATGAAAAGTCATGTGGCCCAGTGACGGGATCTGACTTCGAGACTTCTACTTTCCCCACTCTGGCTCCAGTGGATGGGCAAGGCAACGGCACTGCATCAGCTATTTCAGGGTAAATTCTGGCTTCATTCCTTACCATGAATATCTTAGCACTTTAACAGTAATTTAAAAGAGAACTTTAAATAAAATTAAGCGTTTATACTAGTAGAATAGTTACCACTCTTTTGTTGCAACTATTTTGGCTCCATTTTGTTCTGATGAGTATCTATTGCATGGCAATATTTCAAATCCACTGTCAGTTGCAAACATTCGCAAATAAATAAATACCTAAAACAGGAAAAAAATTGATAATGACTTTAAATAGTTTACCCTGCTAGACTTTCTCAGAATTATAAAAGCAAACCACATGCAATGATGAGAATGAAATTTAAGATCTAGCCTGGACAATAAAGCAAGACCCAGTTTCTATAAAAACCATTAGCCAAGCATGGTGGCATGCACCTGTAGTGACAGCTACTTGGGAGGCTGAGAGGAAGGATCACTTCAGCCCAAGAGATGGAAGCTGCAGTGACCCATAATCAGGTCACTGCACTCCAGCCTGGGTGACAGAGCAAGACTCTGCGTCTAAAAAAATCAATACAATAAACGAGAAAAGTAAGATTATTCAGGCCCGGCGTGGTGGCTCATACCTGTAATCCTAGCACTTTGGGAGGCCAAGGTGGGTGGATCACAAGGTCAAGAATTTGAGACCAGCCTGGCCAAGATGGTGAAACCCTGTCTCTACTAAAAATGCAAAAATTAGCCAGGCGCGGTGGTGAGCACCTATAATCCTAGCTGCTTGGCAGGCTGAGGCAGGAGAATTGCTTGATCCGGGGAGGCAGAGGTTGCAGTGAGCCAAGATTGTGCCACTGCACTCCAGCCTGAGCATCAGAGCAATACTCTGTCTCAAAAAAAGTAAGATCATTAAGTAACAACTAATGTTACTAAAGAGTTTCAAATTGCCTTTCTAGCCGTGAAGATGAGAACATGCCTCTTGCAAAGGATCTCCTTCATCCCTCTCCAGAAGAGAAGAGGAAACACAAGAAGAAAGGCCTGCTGCAGAGCCCCAACTCCTACTTCATGGACGTGAAATGCCCAGGGTGCTGTAGAATCACCCCGGTCTTCAGCCACGCACAAAGGGTAGTTTTGTGTGTTGGCTGGTCCACTGTCCTCTGCCAGCTACAGGAGGAAAAGCAAGGCTTACAGAAGGATGTTCTTTCAGGAGGAAGCAGCACTAAAAGCACTCTGAATCAAGATGAGTAGGAAACCATCTCAATAAACACATTTTGGATTAAAAAAAAAAAGTTTCGAATTTCACAATTTTTCTGATTTTGCAATATTTCCATTACAGTAACTAGCTGAACATACCTCTAACCAAAAAGCCACGGGCATTTCCTTTGAGTGTCATGTCAGTGTTCAAAAGGTTTCATATTTTGGAGCATTTCAAATTTTTGGGTTAAGGGTACTCGTTCTGTATTACTACCCAGTAGCTTGTTTTCTAAATGCTCACAATGAATTTCACTTCTATGTGACAAAGTTTTCTCTTTTGGTTTTAGAGAAGGGTCTTGCTCTATCTCCCAGTGCTGGAGTGCAGTGGCATGATCATAGCTCAGTGCACTCTCTAACTCCTGCGCACAAGCAATCCTTCTGACTCAGCCTCCTGAGTAGGCTAAAACGACAAAGGCATACACCATCATGCCTGGCTAATTTTTTTTTATCTCATTTTTTTTAGAGATGGAGTCTTGCTACGTTGCCCAGGCTGGTCTCGAACTCCTGGTCTCAAGCAACACTCCCTGGGATTACAGCCACTGAGCCTGGCCCAGTTTTCTCTTTGGACTGTCATCTAAATGACTGTGTTACAAGATCTTCAGACTGTTTAGTTTTATGAAAAATTTAAAATGTCAGTATTAACTAACATTTAGGGTTTTAGTTTAACACAGCATCAGTTTAATAAACTTACATGTTCTTTGAATAATTTCTCTTGCATTTTATTCTTGTTGAGAAAATAGTGCCGTGCCCATTCGCCTGAAGTCAAACATTTGAAGGCTTTCTCTAAGTGTTCATCTTTCTTAAAACGTTCAATTACTTCTTTTAGTTCTTCTTGCCTTCCTTTAATAGGCCGAAATCTGAAAGAAATCAAAACAACAGGTTATTTGCCACAATCCTTGGGCCACTGACACATCTTAAGAGATCTTGAGAAAGAGCTAATACCCTAAAAACAGCCATGGTTACCAGTGCAAAGATCTAACAGAAGAGATCAATAATCAATAGTCTTGATTACTACTATTCAAGTAATACTGATCACCTGGATATGTAACTTCTCTTTTTTCAATCTGTTGTTTTAATGTTTTTACTTCACTATTATTAACTGTGAGGTGAGCAGATGATTCAAACAAAAGCTGTATGATTCCCACTTATACTAGCTGTCAACTTTGGGAGATACAAAATCAAAGATCTAGAATAGAGCACATCTAAAAGAGTTAGAATGACAAGAATCTTCTTAAAACATGCAAAATCAAGCTGAAAGAGTACCAAGCAATGACTTTCGGAAGTATGATGATGCAAACAAAACCATGCCATACACAAAAACATTCTTTATGTACACAGTTAGAAAAAATCTCAAACTAAGTATTCCAAGAGGTTTTCAAACACAACTTGATGTTCTAATCACCCATGCCAAACTCATCTTCGGTAACTGCATTCGGAGAAAAAAAGAGTGCAAGAAGTGTAACTCTGGTGGTGAAACTGCTATACTAGCAATGTAGGAAAACTGATGGGCTAGAGTTTTTTTGAGACAGAGTCTCACTCTGTGGCCCAAGCCTGGAGTGCAGCGGTGTGATTTCGGCTCACTGCAACCTCTGCCTCCCAGGTTCAAGTGATCCGCCCGCCTCAGCCTCCCAAAGTGCTGGGATTACAGGTGTGAGCCACTGCGCCCAGTCTGCTAGGGTAGCATTTAAAAGGCTTCTATTACAGAATCAGCCACAATGATGACTTCAGAGTATCACACCATCAGGTCTGTATTAACGCATGGCAACAATCATGTCCAAGCAAGACACATCTGTGAACCCTCATTCTGAAGCTGTGTTTTCAGCAAAACATGTGTACTATAGTTACTCACATCTTAATTTCAAATTTTCTTTTCATGTCAATTTCATTAGGCTAATTCTCCCAAATAAAGTTTTTATTAAAAACACAAAAACAACAACAAAATATCCAACAGAAAAAAGAAATTACAGATTGCCGTTCAAATAAAATACATTAAGAAAAAATATTAGTGGTTCAGGAGAAAAAAATCTTTGTGTGTCCTAGTCGAACATTTAAAATTGTACATTTCATAAACCTGAATATACTAAAATTGAGGTAAGATCTAGCACGAACTCCAGCAAAGGAAGCATTCGGCAGAAATTTTTTTCCTAGAGAAGCTATCATGCATGTATTCGCAGTATTTCAAGCCACAGTATTTCATCAAGGATTATTTATCAGGTGCTGTGTTATATATACAGCGGGATATGAAGTGCTATGGTGACAAATACAAGAGAAGACATGGCCACTGTTCTTATATGAAAAATTTAATTGGGTCTAAAAGACATATATATGCATCAAACAGTTAAGCCATCGATATGCAAATGCATGTTAATATGCTAAAAACTACATTGCTAAAGCACCTAAAAGTATGGAAGTTATAACTAGGGTGTAAAATGTATGTGGAAAAGGTTTAGGAAAAGCACATTATAGTTAGGGAAGAATCAAAAGGAAGGAAGAGTGAGGGGAAGTATAGGTATAAGATCTTAATGAGGCTGGATTCAAATCGTTGACCAGGGTCAGCTAGTTAGCAATAAGAAAGTTAAGTACTACAGTCAGGAAGTGGGAGAACATGAGGTCCAGAACAGGTTTAGCACTATCTACTGGACAGGATCCCTGGAAGACTTCAGGTGTACTAATGCATACTGATACTACCAGGAACTTACTAGCTACAGACTCTAGTTTCAGTGATCCTGAATTCTCACAACTATTAGCAGAACCACCTGAGAGTTCAAACACATCCTAGAGATAATAACACTGAAGAAATGAACGGGGCCCTATTTTCTATTTTCAATCAATTGGTATATAAGCCTTTACAGACAGATGAATACAAGCCCTTTAAACAATTCAGAATGTCTTACTAGGCTGTCAACACATGGTATCAGAGAAACCACCATTAAAATAAAGATTTGCAGAATTGGGATAGCATCCAAACACCCATACTAAACTACCTGTAGCCATCACAATTGATTCTGTCTAGATGCAATCTCTAAGAAATCCATTCTAAACCATTCTTGCTGCAGTCCAACACTACCTGGTTATTTGCATATGAAGGACAGATAAGACAACAAAGCAGCTCTTAGCTAAGGCACGACCCGTCAAGCAATATGAAATATGAAACGGTGGGAAACAGATAACCCATGTTTTACGTTAACTTGCAATCAGAAAAGCAAGAGTTCATTTTAAGCAAATGCAATAAATTATCCATGCCATTAAATGACAGGGCTACAAACGACAGAAAGAGCCAAGCTATCTTTACACGTTCAATGTAAAAGTGACCAGTGGGAACATTATTGCAAAATAATAAGGCAAGTCAGGGACAAAGTCACCTAAAGCTCTTAAGAATATAATACAAAAAAGAGTTACAGACTTGGAATGAACCTTGGCTATATTTAACAGGCTTCATGTGTGTTCTATGCTTTCTGAAACAAGTTCATTCCCACCTAAAAATGCCTTCAGGTATCCTTAGTTTTGTTTACTTTTTATTCACAATGCCAAACAATTTATATGTTAAAACCAACACAAAACAGTCAAGTCTTGACTCAGTGTTCTGCCTTCTACCTTCCCTGTGTTGACTTGTTTCTGCTTTCCTGACTTCAATGCCTCAAGCATAAATAAAACCCCTGAAACTATCCCTTGTTATCCATAGCAAGAACCTGTATTTCACTTAAAATATAAGTTTCTGTCCCAAAAGTGCTAAAACTTACTGTCAAAGTTGGCTGCTACGGGAATGAAATGACAGTGAGGAAAAGGAGGAAGAAAATGGTTATGGGTGCAGACAGGCAGGAGATGAGACAGTTGTTTTAAATAATCCTACATAAGTATATAGAAGTCAGCTGGCTGACAGTCCAAATCAAATCCCATTATAACAAATACTGTGGAAAATAAAAGTTAAGACTGTTACACCTCAGTGCAAAGGCACTGAGAACCTTAGGGGGAGGTTTTTTTCCCCTATTATTGAAAAGAAAAATACATTCTCTCATCAACTACAATTACTCTAACTCAAACTGCATAAAACTATCCTTCTACTGTGACACTTAAAGGCCATCTAATTTACAACAGCCCTTTTGTTCCACAAATGGGGAAAATTAAGGCCCAAGAAGGCTAAGTAGATTGCCTATGATTTAGGGCTAATGAATGGAAGACCTGGGATTTACCCAGGCCTTTCTCAGTCCTGTTCTGTGACTTGGCTCAGGAGAGCCTTCCTTGCATTGTTTCACGGTTAGAAGAGGATTTGACTTGCGTTTGCCGTTGAGCGTTACCACTGGGCCCAGCAAGAGCGAGCTCTAGCTTGTATACTGACAATACAGTGGAGGGGATTAACGCAAACGTGAATTTCAAACTTTAGTATTTGGGTGGGGGGGTGGGTGGCAAGGGAGGCAAGAAAAACAGGTATTTGGCATTTCCAAATCAATATGCCCCCTCCTCCCTCCCTCAATGAAAATGTGCTACTTCAAATCAACCAAACATATCTATTTTTCTCTTCTTACACTTCTTATCAGTGGGTGGTATAAGAAAAGTAAAACTGTCATTTACAATTGGTTATGATTAAAGGGGCAGGAAAACAACATATGAATTCACACTCCCACACACCTGTTCCCCACTCTTTCCAGAGACTCAATTCCCAGGTTTTCTTGCTATTTGGTTTTTCTGTCTCCCCACTGTGCAGTGAAGAAAAGCTGTAGACTGTATTAGCTGTGCTACTGTGCCCTTCATTAGCATGCACAATCAAGAGCTGACTGGAGGGGTGGGGAAGAGGAAGGGGGACAGAAAAAAGGGAGACAGGGAAGGAGAGAGGAAGAGAGAAAAATGCTCAAATATTTAAGATATAAAATAAAACCATGAGGCAACATAGTGAACACATTTCCCCCTCTGAAGAAAGTTTAGCTGCAAATCGACAGTTTGTAGACGCTGAGCGAGGAGTCACACAACAATAGCTCTTCATTCCTTCTTGACCTGAAAATAAACGAGAACCAAAAACATACCTGGCTGAGTCATGCAATCAGTGCTCAGCTAATCACATGGAGTGACTCCTGATCTTTTGATGAATGATTTCTCTTAAAATCACCGTTATGAAGTACAAGTGGTTTTTTTTTTTTTAAATAAAACTATATCAAACTACTTTAAAAGGTTTGTAAAATGTTCTGAAACTCGTATTTATGCTGACACTTCAAATTACTTAGCATAAAAGAACATTTTAAAAGGCTAAACAAGTTAGTATCTCATTGTTTATAACACACACTACCTACCTCACAGGGTTGTTGTGAGAAAAACTGTCAGATTTTGAAAAATGCCTTGAGCTCCTCGAAGGAAAGGCGCTATATAAATGCAAAAACAAACAACAAAAATAAAAAGCTATTTGTATAATTTGTACTTGTAACTTCTAAACAGACTTACAATATTCGTTGTTGCAAAAATCCTTACAACTGTGATATTTAAGAACTTTAAGACGTCATGGGTAGGCTCAGCGGGATAAAAGCAATGCTGCTGAAACTCTTTGCTTCCCACAGAATTCATCTTACCATTAAGTTAGGAGGTTTGAAAACATTCTTTACGTATTCTGGTCAAGTACTTAATTTTAAAGTGATATTTAAAGTGATTTATACATTTATATCCAATAGTGGATAAGAATAATCAAATACATATTTAAGTGAAATAACAATTAAATGGTTACTGGAGAAAGGTGAGTAAGGACTGTATAGGCTGACATTCTGATGAGAAAAACCAAGAAAAGTTCCAAAGAGAAACTCAGTGCCCTTGAGGTGATTCCCCTGATGTTTAAATGCTGTCTCCTGCTCAGCCTACTGCTGGCCCAAGTCTCCCTCACGCCTCGTGATACTGTGAAATATCAGGGTCATGCAGCCTAAAAAAGGGGACATTATTGAAAGCATGGATCCCTTTGTTAAAATATCCTGCTCCCACTCCATTTAAAAACCAGAGCTAGAGCATTAGCACTGGGCCCAGCAAGAGCTATAACCAACAACTCTTTTTTTCCTTGTTAAAAAGAAAAATTTAGGTTTCGTAATTGACAAAAGTCCAAATTTCTCCCAATAAACTGAAATTAGCATTTTGTTTATACTATTTCTAAGTATTCATGCTACAACTCGTTTGTTAGTAAATATAGGGATATATTAAGATTAAAACCTATGGCCGGGGCTGGTGGCCCACACCTGTAATCCCAGCACTTTGGGAGGCCGAGGCGGTTAGATCATGAGGTCAGGAGTTAGAGACTAGCCTGACCATCATGGTGAAACCCTGTCTCTACTAAAAATATGAAAATTAGCCGGGCATGGTGGAACACATCCACAGTCCCAGCTGTTCAGGAGGCTGAGGCAGGAGAATTGCTTGAACCTAGGAGGTGGAGGTTGCAGCAAGCCAAGATTGCACCACTGCACTCCAACCTGGGCGACAGAGCAAGACTCTGTCTCAATAAAACAAACAAACAAAAACCCTATGCACTCAAATATAGCCAGTTTTGGAAATTCTCAAATCATTAAACATCTACTGTTTCTAAACATTCTTGAAGGCAGGCAAAAGAGTATAAAAAGAAACTAAAAAGTGACAAATTATAGATGCATAAACATGAACAAGAGCACACTACACAAGAAACAGGCAGAGAGCCTAGAAAATTAAAATCCAAGAGCAGTACATCTTCTGGTCACTTTTTTTAAACTCCAAAGAGAGAGAAGTCCATAAGTCATTAACTGAAGAAGTATTTATTGGCTATTTACTACCCTAATAAACCACTATCAGTTCTCCTTATTTTGTAAAGTCACATTCTGGTAGTCTTGCTCAAAAGATGAAGAGCCAGAAGGGATAGTTTTATTTTCAAGTATATTCACTAATGTTAAATGAAAATGTATACCTTACACCAAGATTAACAAGCTCATTAATAAAATTTGTTCCCAAATATCAGTGTACACAAGAGTGTAACAACACACGTAAATGGAACACCTGGTGGGAAGAGGACAGGATGTCACCTGCGCTGCCACACCGGCCTGAAGTGCTGACACTGCTACAACCCAGCCTGCCCTAACCGGGGCAATAGGATCATCTGTACTTCCACAGGTTATTTTAAAACTGTATGAGTATAATTAAATGTTGCACTAAAAAACATTTAAAAAAAGTTTTCTTCTGCGACTTTAACCAGCTTTAATTTTAGATGCTTCAATTTCTATGGGGAAAAATCTTATGTACTGGATGCATTTTAATTCAGAAGTCCTCAGAGTAATGTCTTGAGTTCTAAAAATATTTGTGTGGTAATCCTGAAGTTTACATTTTATGACTAAATGGTTCTATGTGAGCCCTAGGAAACTCCTACTAAGGTATTTTTATCCACTTACCACATCAGAATGAAACTCGGAGGCCAGATGCTTTAGAACCTAGCTGTTCCAACTGCTGTCCAGGAGCTTGTTAGAAATGCAGCGTCTCAGGCCCCACCCCAAGCTACTGAATCAGAACCTGCATTTCAATAAATTCCCAGGTGACTCTCATGTAAACTAATTTTGAGAAGCAGTGGTATAGGAGGACTTTTATAGAAAATTGGAGTACTTCCTTATTTTGTCTTTTGATATAGGCTTTCCCTCTGGCCCAGGCTGGAGTGCAGTGGCATGAATACAGCTCAATGCAGCCTTGAGCAACTGGGCTCAAGTGATCCTCCCACCCTCGCCTCTCAAAGTGCAGCGGAAAGCTGGAGTATTTACTATTGCAGATGCCGGTCACGGGCAGCCTTCTGGAATACTGCACAGGGGTTTTAGAGTACATGAAGTTCTGTCATCAGCCACTAAAACTTTCATTGTAATTTTGATGTAACACTTTCTAAAATGTTTTATATGCTTCCATATCTTGGTAATAAGGTATAATCAACATAACTTTCTCGATGACCCGAAGTCAAGATTATGGGCCTTTTGTGGTGACATTCTGAATGCTACTAGACTACTGTGTCAAAGAGTGATTTATTCACACATTCACATTTCTTAACTCAGCAAAAAAAAAAAAAGAAGAAGAAGAAGAGAAACGCTGGGGGTGCTACAGGGTGACAAATATTACCAGCATCTTCTAGGAAGACAATGAGCCTGGTCTCATGTTCAATGGACAAAAAAAAGAAAAGACAAATGGACTTAACGCAAATTAGTTGGGCTTTTTTTTTTTTGAGTAGCAGTTTCACTCTGTCACCCAGGCTGGCAAGTGGTGGTGCGATCCTGGCTCACTGCAACTTCCGCCTCCTGGGTTCAAGGAATTTTCCTGCCTCAGCCTCCTGAGTAGCTGAGACTATAGGCACACACTGCCATACTCAGCTAATTTTTTGTATTTTTAGTAGAGACAGTGTTTCATCTCTACCAACAATACAGGTCTCAAACTCCTGACCTCAGGTGATCTACCCACCTCGGCCTCCCACAGTGCTAGGATTACAGGCATGAGCCACTGTACCTGGCCTGGGTCTTAACCAGTCAGGGCATCCAATGGCAGTCATTTAGCAGGGAAATGTTTAAATAATCTCCCAACTCCATTCCAATATTTCACACTTAATTTTAGTGAGCAAAGATATATGACAGAAAATTTTATGGCTGGCTGCAGTGACTCACACCTGTCATCCCAGCACTTTGGGAGGCTGAGGCAGTCAGATCACCTGACGTCAGGAGTTCAAGACCAGTCTGGTCAACATGGTGAAACCTCATTTACACTAAAAATACAAAAATTAGCTAGGTGTGGTGGTGTACACCTCTAATCCCAGCTACTCAGGAGGCTGAGGCAGAATTACTTGAACCCAGAAGGCGGAGGCTGTAGTGAGCTGAGATCACACCACTGCACTCCAGCGTGGGTGACAGAATGGGGCTCCATCTAAAAAAAAAAAAAAAGAAAAAGAAAATTTTATTGAAAAAAAAAAAACCAAACCAGGTTTTTACCTGAATTACTTCTTTTAGACTTAAGAATATAATTGATAAATGAAACATAGAGTATCTTAATTCTAGCAACAGATAAAATTAAAAGGGGGGCAATAGGACACAAGACTTTTCTCCAATTACCTGTACTCACCAATTCCTACTTCCCCCAACCACTGATCAGTGACTACGTACCTGGGTATCAAGTTCCCCCAGGGTTGCCAATGAAATCGGAACTACTACCCCAGTCCAGGTGTAATGGAGATGGGTCAGAACTAGCTCTATCTTCTAAATCCCTGCTGTGACGCTTTCCCACCAGACTCAAAAACTCTTTGCCATAGAAGTTAAGAGATAAAGCAAAGTTGCAAAGCTCTGACCTCCTGTTTGGTGGCAGAAACACTTGTGAAATGATCTAGTGGTCTTTTTTTCAGGGAGAAATGATATTTAAGAGAATTAAAGCGAGACCTCAGCTGTTAAAAGATGACAGATTCATGATGTAATAAGGTTTTTTATATACAGCATTTGGCACTCAAACCCACATCCATTTTCTTACCTGCATACTGAATATACACGTCTTTATTCACTCTTACTTACAATGATTAGTGGAACCCTAAAGATTACACATGACAAAATTCCCCATCTATACAGAGATAATGTGTAAGAGAACAGTCTATACTAAAATCATGAAAAAAAGGGATGTAACCTACTTACAAGTGGGAAACAATCATACATTTTCAAGGCTTTACAGGATGCTTGTCAGATTTTTCTTTTCGCTAAGGTAACTGTTACCAACTTTTTTTTTTTGAGATAGAGTTTTGCTCTTGTTACCCAGGCTGAAGTGCAACCACACGATCTTGGCTCACTGCAACCTCTGCCTCCCGGGTTCAAGTGATTCTCCTGCTTCAGCCTCCCATGTAGCCGGGATTGGTCAGGCGTGGTGGCTCATGCCTGTAATCCCAAAACTTTGAGAGGCCGAGGGGCATATCATGAGGTCAAGAGACAGAGACTAAGTAGGTGGGATTACAGCCATGCACTACCACATCTGGCTAATTTTTTTTTTTTTGTACTTCTAGTAGAGACGGGTTGGTCAGGCTGGTCTCAAACTCCTGACTTCAGGTGATCCACCCACCTCGGCCTTTCAAAGTGTGGGGATTACAGGCGTGAGCCACTGTGCCTGGCATCATCCAACTTTTAAAATAGAACACGAGGATGCTCCTCCAGCTTTACATGTTAATAGAAATGTTCTGAGGTAAAATAAGAACACAGAGTTAGAACTGACAAGATTCCTGGAGTCTTGTTCTCCCTTTCTCTTGGCTCACATACAGAAAACCCTTCCACCGCAAAGAACTTTCCTTTAATGTCATTTTAAATTTTGAGCAAAAGTAAAATTAGCCATCTACGTTCTTGAATTCAGTATCATCTGTCCCATTCAGGATAAAGACTTAAAATTACCTAGTATTCATTTTGTGTGTTTGAAAACCTAAATAGGGATCAAGAACCAAACTGGTTGCTAGGTCATCATTTTCACAGAGTTCCTTGGCAGACATTCCAGAAGATGGTACATAACGACTCTGTCCTTCAAATCCTGAGTTACCATTACCTGTGAAAAGCAAAAGAAAAAAAAATTACTCAAATTGAAAACTATTTAAATCTGTCTTAAAATCTTTAGCTTCACTGCCCATTCAAGCTGGTAATAAAAAACTGAAAAATCAATCCATTTTAAGTAATTAAGAATTTAATAACTTCTACGTAAGACAGAAAACCAAATGCAGTAAACCATCTTCATTACTAAGAACATTTTGGTTAGCAGGTAATAACAGCAGGTTCCCAAGAATGGGGTCTGGGTAGCTGTGACAATTTGGTTCAAATGCTTGACTCTCCCCCACCTCCTACTCTCCTCCAAGGAAACTGAGAAACCAGATGGGAGGATGTTCACTATTTTAACAAGACAGGGCCACTACAGATAGGACTGGGGTGAAAAGAAAACAGGAACACAAGATAGTTTCTGCAAGAAGCGGCAGAACTCCAGATCTCAAGTATCAAAAGGAATCTCATGGAGTTAAGTTCAGCTTCCTGCTTTTGGTGAATGATTATTATCCCCACTTTGTAGGCAACTGAGGCCCAGACAATAAGAAACTTACCCACAATTCCAGAGCTAGGTAGAAGAAGTGGGAAAAGAAGTAGAGAGAGAATGACAGACCTATTTCTAACTGACCTCAGTTTGAAGCAATTTTTAAGGAATAGATTAAAAATATCGACTGAAATATATAACTGAAATATTGGGTTTAACTGTGGAAGAAAAGCAGTGTAAAGAACGAAACAAAGGCCAAGTTTATATGAAGCTTCATCAGAGCTGATTAAGTTTGATGTATATGCCACTGACAGTCCTCCCATGAAGCTAGCACAGTTTACGGAGGTCAACAGCAATGTCAATTTCAGGCTTTCAAAACCAAAATGGGAAGAATGAAACATAGGAGTTTAACCTTTTCATCCACTCTTTCACAGAACAAATACTTAAATCTAAGTTCCTGCCAAGGGCAGACATACGACTTTGCAATCAAATTATTTGCATGTAGGTATGTGAAAAGCTATCAAGTTGTTAAATTTTGTATAACAGTGTAATAGCTTTATTGAAATACAATTCACATACTACTCACTTTTTTTTTTTTTTGATGACAGGGTCTTGCTCTGCCACCCAGCCTGCAGTGCAGTGGCATAATCACGACTCACTGAAGTCGTGAACTCCTAGGCTCAAGGAATCATCCTGCCTCAGCCTCCCTAGCAGCTGGTATCACAGGCATACATCAGCACGCCTGGTTAATTTTTGTATTTTTTTGTAAAAATGGGGTCTCATCATATTGTACAGGCTGGTCTCGAACTCTTGGGTTCAAGCCATCCTCCTGCCTGGGCCTCACAAACTGCTGGGATTACAGGTGTGAGCCACCACGCCCAGTCTTCTTTATTTCACATAAGCATTTAAAAGTATAAATTTCCCTCTAAACCACAGCTCTGGGCTGTATCCTGTAAGTTTTGGTATATTTATCTTTCTTTTCATTCACCTGAGAATGTTTTCTGATCTCCTTTTAGAGTTCTTCTTTGACCCACTGATTATTTAGAAGTGTGTTGTTTCATTTCCATGTATTTGTGAAATTCCCAAATTTCCTTGTTATTAATTCCTAATTTTCCTCCATTGTGGTCACAGAACATACCTTATGGGATTTCAATCCTTTTAAGTTTATTGAGGCTTGTTATAATGGTCTATCCTAGAAAATGTTCCACTTGCACTTGAGATGAATGTGTATTCTGATGAGATTCTATAGATACCTGTTGGGTCTAACAGGTTTTCAGTGTTAAGCTATTCTATCCATTATTAAAAGTGGCATATCAAAGTCCCCAAATTATTACAGAATTGTCGATTTTCCCCTTCAATTTTGTTAGTTTTTGTTTCTTGCATCCTGAGGCTCTGCTGCTAGTAAAGTCGCCTCATTGTATCTGAGATGGAGCACTGCTCTGTGCTCTCCCATTACTCATTGTATCTGAGATGGAGCACTGCTCTGTGCTCTCCCATTACTCATTGTATCAGATGGAGCACTGCTCTGTGCTCTCCCATTACTCATTGTATCTGAGATGGAGCACTGCTCTGTGCTCTCCCATTACTCATTGTATCAGATGGAGCACTGCTCTGTGCTCTCCCATTACTCTTCAATGCTGCCTCTTTCTGCACCATTCTTGCCCAGTAACATTCAATGCAATGCTATGTAATCTTCACACTCTAGGTTTTCCCAACCTAGCCCTCTATATTTATCTACATTTGGTAAAGTGTAACCAACATTAATGGCCATTTTCTAAACTCTTTTATTTTTTTTTAGAACAGAGTCTCACTTTGTTGCCCATGCTGTAGTTCAATGGTGCGATCTTGACTCACTGTAACCTCTAACTCCTGGGATCAAGTGATCTTTCCGACCTTAGCCTCTCAAGTAGCTGGGACCACAGGCATACACCACCATGCCCAGCTAAGTTTTTTGTAGAGACACGGGTTTTCACCATGTTGCCCAGGCTGGTCTCACAACCACCTGACTCAAGTGATGCATGTGCCTCAGCCTCCCAAATTGCCCAGAGTACAGGTGCCAACTACTGCCCCAACTTCATTTTCTAAATTCTCATGTATCTGTAACTATTCAACTAATTAAAACTGTTTTGCGCTATGATACACAAAAGCAGGCCAACAGTGATTTGCTAAAAAGCTTAAGATGCGCCTAGTTTACTGACCAGAATGAATACACACTGAGGTGGTCATTACGTTTCTCAATTCTTCAGGTTCACACTAACTGAGAAGTGAAGCAGGGTGAGGGTGCATGCTGACAGCAACCTCAGGGCTGAGTGGTGTCCATGACTCATTCAGTTTTGGCTCTTCCTACTCTTGTCCCAAGCAGGAATTCTGTCTGGTTTTCTATAGCAACAGTGACCTGATCTGAAATGGAAAGGTTAAGAGTAGCCTGGGCCCAATGAGTCACATAAACCCCTAAAAGGAAAGAAGGAAATCAATCAGAACCGCTGCAATCTGAAACTAGAGAAAACTCCAGGCTAAGGAAGCAGGCCAATGCCAATTTGAATGAAGGATATTCAAAAGTGTCTCGATTGTTAGAAAAAGAAGAAATTGGAAAGCTGTCCTCTTTAACATGACATACGTTTGGACACAGAGCTGCCTAGTTAGGTAACACTTGCTCTCAGTTATTTTACTACTTTTAGAAGAACTACGAAACATACCAAACCCACAGTTTCCTGAACTCTCAAAAAGCAGCCTCTTCTCCACAACAGGTATAAAGGAAATAAAGTAACTTATCAGCAGTGTTTCACTGTCAGGACGAACAACTGTTGACCCTGTATGAATAGAATAAATGATTTCTGAAACTGCCCTAAGGCAGTCAGTTCTATCCATCCTCCATTCTACTATGTCAGTTAGAGTTGGCTTCATTATTCATATTATTCCACAAAACATTTGTGGAAATTAGCAAAGAAGTACATACCTATACTTATATCTATTAAAAAAATACAGCTTAACCTGTAAGAAGTTCAATTAACAATTTAAACATTTAGTAAGACTTAACCATTCAGGTATAAATTCTACAAAATATAAAAGTAATAGAAAAGCATGATTAAAATAATTATATGAAGCATTAAATTTGGGTTTTATATATTGTTTGATGAGAATAAAAATTGATACAACTTTGAGAGTAAAAGAACTATACTGTTAATTATGAAAATGCAGAACATTATTTTGAAGAAAACAGAATACAAATTACAAATTGGAAAGAATTACTGCCCCGCAGCATAATCAGAACATTGATGGGTGAACTGTGTACATACATCTGCTCGACCTCCTCTCGACTGCATTTTTGCCAGCCTTCAGGGTGTCCTTCCCCGCGTGCTGTAATTTTGATTGATTCTGCTGATGGTCATTAGACAACTTGCCTCCATTTCTCCTGCCATTCACCACCATGTTCTTGGATTCTCCCAACCACTTCATACCCACAGACAGCCTGACCCAGGTGCATTTAGTCACTCTCTTCAAATAGCTCAGAGAAGAATTTCAATGTTCTCTCCTAACAGAAAAAAATATGAAAAACAAAACAAAATGGGGAGGTAAATACATGAAAGATCATGCTAAACAGACTCTTGAGAAAGATTCTTAATATTAAAAGGACAGTCATTCACAGCGTAATGATGTTTTGGTCAATGACAGACCACAAAAACAATGGTGGTTCCATAAGATTATTACAGAGCTGGACATACACTTCATAAAATTCATGTTGTCTAGTATTTACTATATTATACTTTTTATTGTTACTTTAGAGTCTACTCCTTTTTTTTTTAAAGTTAACTATTAAGCAGCCCCAGGCAGGCTAATCAAGACATATTCCAGAGGAAGGCACTGTTATCACAGGAGATGACAGTTCCATGCATGTTACTGCCCCTGAAGATGTTCCAGTGGGACAAGATGCAGAGGGAGAAGACAGTGACATGGATAATCCTGATTCTGTGTGGGCTGAGGCTAACGTGTGTGACTGCGTCTGTTTTTAACAAGAAAGTTAAAAAATTAAAAGTAGAAAAAAATGTATAGAATAAAGATACTTGGAATACAGCTGGGCATGGTGGTTCATGCCTGTAATCCCAGCACTTTGGGAGGCTGTGGCAGGAGGACTGCCTGAGCCCAGGAGTTGAGACCAGCCTGGGTAACATGGCAAGAGTCTGCCTCTATAGAAAATAAAAAGGTTAGCCAGGCATAATGGTGTGAGCCTGTGGTTCCAGCTACTTGAGAGGCTGAGATGGGAGGTCAAGCCTGCAGTGAAGCCCTGACTGCAACACTGCACTCCAGCCTGGGTGACAGATCAACCCTGTCTCCCAAAAAAGAAAGGAAAAGAATAAATGTATTTTTGTGTCCTTCTGTCTGTTTTTTTGAGACAGTCTCATTCAATGGCCCAGGCAGGAATGCAGTGGCGTGATTATAGCTCACTGCAGTCTCAAACTCCAGGGCTCAACTGATCCTCCCACTCAGTCTCCCAAGTAGCTGGGCTTCAGGCAGGAGCCACCACATCCAGCTAATTAGAACTTTTTTTTGGTAGACATGGTCTCACTATGTTGCCCAGACTGGTCTCAATTTGTGGGCTGAAGCAGTCTTTGGGACACTGTGCCTGACTAAGAAAGTATATATATTTGAGACAGGGCCTTGCTCTGTTGCCCAGGCTGGAGTGCAGTGGCGCAATCTCTGCTCACTACAACTTCCACCTCCCCAGGTTCAAGTGATTCTCCTGCCTCAGCCTCCTGAGTAGCTGGGATTATAGGAATGCACCACCACACATGGCTAATTTTTGTATTTTTAGTAGAGATGGGGTCTTACTATGTTGGCTAGGCTGGTCTTGAACTTCCAACCTCAAAGTGATCCTGCCTTGGCCTCCCAAAGTGCTGGGATTATAGGTGTTAACCGCCTCATGTGGCCAGAATACATTTTTGTATGGCAATACATGTTTATATTTTAAGCTCTTACTATAAAAGAGTCGAAACTTTTTTTTTAAAATAAACTTTAAAACAGTTACAGAGACCTAAGGTGAATTACTGAAGCAAGAAACATTTAAAAATAAATTTAGAGTACAGCGTTCCTCAAGTCTACAGTAGTATACACGTACTCGGTCTATGCAATCATCCACCACTCACTCACTGACTCACCCAGAGCAACTTCAAATCCTGCAAGCTCTCTATTCATAAAAGTGCCCTTTTCACCATTTGAAAATCTTTTATTCTGCGTTTTGCTGTATCTTTTTTATGTTTATATATGTTCAGATACACAGATAACATTGTTGCGTGTGACCTCCAGTAGTCGGTACAGTAACATGCTGTACAGGTTAGCAGCCTAGGAGCAATGGCCAGGTATGTCTGTCCCACCTAGCTTTGTGTAAGTACACTCTATGACGACTGCCTGACGACAAAATCACCTCACCTCACGTTTCTAGAATGCGTGCCTGACACACACTCTATGATGTCTGTACGATAACAAAATCACCTCACCTCACATTTCTCATAATGTGTAGTATCCCTGTCATTAAGCAACGCATGACTGTAACTTAGTAACTGATGTCTCCACTCTTTAAAGACAATCTTGGCTCTCCCCAGTCATATGATGCTTGCTCTGGTCAGTGCCCTCAGACTGATCAGAATGTAAACTACAGAAGGCAGAGACTCATTCTGAATTGCTCCTTGCTTGTGTTTAGAACAGTACTGACAAACAGCAGGTGCTCAACAAATATTTCTTTCAGTAAACAATAAGAAACATCTTTGCGCCCTGTTGTACTGATATCTAGGTACAGCTCTATAATCTGCTCAAATTACATGTTTTGGTAATGCTCTGAACTGGGTGAGTCAACTACAAGGAAGTGATTATCTCCTCTTCTCTAAGGAAAGCTTAGGAAAAGGCATCTATGCTAGGCTTTGTCCATCACAGTAAGAGACTACTGCTATGCTCGCTACTCATCACTTACAAACAAAACTTAGCAGAGGGACAAGAGCAAAGAGTAAAGAACTTCATATCTTTTTGTTGTTAGCTTGAATTCACTGTTCTAGATTTTAAGGGACTAATATTCAAGTATCAAAGTAGTGCCCATCATTCCTTCACGATGGCAACAAAACTGAGAAGCTACTGTATTTGGGAATATAAGGTTATCCCTTACTATCTGAATTTAGGAACCTAATGATTTGAATAGTGGGGGATGGTTTAATTTATAATGACCTTTGGAAATGAGGATATTATACATTACACTCTGGACGTTCATAATATCATCTCGTTATGGAATCATGCTTTAATATAAACTAGACTATTAAGATCACCAGTGTAACTCTTTCAATTTCTAAATGAAACTGACGCTACATGCCTAAAGCCACACAATCCGCCTGCAGCAGACTCATGAGCAGAACCCAGCTCTGCTGCTCAACAAATTCTCACACCAGACAAAGGTCAATTTCCTTTCCACAAACACATAGAAAAGCGCAAATGATAAATTATTTTGAAGTATTCACAGAAATACATGCCTGGACATACCTTTAATGATAGTCAACACAAACAAAACATTAATTTGTACCTGATCTCAGGTCTCTTTCATGTTACAGGAATATCTGTGTGAGTTCACTGGAGGGTAAGATGTGCATGTGAGCAACATGCTTAGGTGAAAGGCAAAACAAAAAAAAATTCTGATCAATGCTAAAGACAGCTTTACAATTGTTTTCTAACATGAATTTTTCTTCTAGTTCCCTCGCTATTTAAATTTGATTATAGTATTCAACTTTTAACGTGCTTGTCTTTTGATTTCTCTTGTAGGCATCTCTAAATAGTCTTGTAGCTATTCTACATCAGTTATAAGCTAAGAATTTTCCAATTATTAAATTTTACCACATTTAACATTAAAACCCCTTATGAATGATTACATATCTTATATTTAGGAGAAAGGCATAGAACTCAAGAGCAGCATACCTTTTTTTTTTTAAGAGACAGGGTCTTGCTCTGTCACCCAGGTTGGAGTGCAGTGGTGTGACCATAGCTCACTGCAGCCTCAAAGTCCTAGCCTCAAGCCACCCTCCACCTCAGCCTCCCAAAGTGTTAGGATGAGCCACCACACTCAGTAAGAGCAGTGTACTTTCGAAGTATGAAGAACGAAGAAAGGCGAGAAAAAGAGCAGCAGTGGTCTCCTGGGAGCCTTGGATCTTGGATCCCCCCCCCCGCCCAGTTTTGTGGAATACTTATCTACAAATTCCAAAATGGACTTCATTTAAAGAAACTCATGGAACATTAACAGACAAAAACATAAAACAATATGTACTGTGGCATTCAAATCCTAGCACTTTGGAAGAGCATCAAATTTTTTTTTCTTTTTTAGACTGAGTCTTGCTCTGCCCCCCAGGTTGGAGTGCAGTGTTGCAATCTTGGCTCACTGCAACCTCTGCCTCTCAGGTTCAAGTGATTCTCGTGCCTTAGCCTCCCAAGTAGCTGGAATTACAGGCAGGCACCACCATGCCTGCCTAATTTTTGTATTTTTAGTAGAGACAGGGTTTCACTATGTTGTCCAGGTTGGTCCTCAACTCCTGGCCACAAGTGATCCTCCCACTTTGGCCTCCCAAAGTCCTAGGAGTACAGGTGTGAGGCACCGTGCCTGGCCGTTTTTGAAAATTATAGCCTACCATCACAATGCAGTCAAGATTTGAGTATGAATGACCTTATCAAGACTTAGATCTTTAAAAGCTTTGAGTTTCATCCACGTTAAAGCTCTCCATCATTGAACCATCTCACAAAAGAAAAAGCTTAAAGGGACTAAAATCCTTGACTACATTCCATTTTATATCCTGTTTTCTTCAATTTCCTTAACCTCTATGGTCTTTCATATTACTTATGTTCCTTTAGACAAGAGCCAATGAAACAGTACTTTCTGAAAAATGGATGCTCTGTGGCATAAGTTTTCATTGGCAGAGAAGCACAAACCTGGTATGATAAATTTAGAATTAGGTTTTTGGTTGTAAAGATGCATTAACAACAAGCAAATGGGCGAGGCAGTGTGGCTCACACCTATAATCCTAGCCCTTTGGGAGCCCGAGGCAAGAGGACTGCTTGATGCCAGGAGTTCAAGATCAGCCTGGGCAATACAGAGAGACAGCCTAATATAAAAAATAAAAACAAAAATAAAAAAATTAGCCAAGGATGGTGGCATGCACCTGTAGTCACAGCTACTCAGGAGGCTTTAGTGGGAGGATGGCTCCAGCCCAGGAAATTGAGGATGCAGTAAGCCACGGTGATCCTGCCATTGCACTCCAGCCTTGGCAACAGAGTGAAAAAAAGAAAATGAGGAAAACGTGGCAAATGTATATAAATATATTTTATATTTGAAGTTAGCTTATTCTCTCAGAAGCTATGTGGTCTGGAGAAAACTTCTGTTGAGGGCTCCTATCCCACCTGTCTCTTACTAGAATAGGTAGTTGGTAACTGGGAAAGTCATTTAACCTCTCTGAACCTTAACTTTCATTATCCATAAAGTGAAGCTGATACTGTTTTCCCCATCTACTTCAC